TCAGGTTAGAGAAGACTGAGAAGCTTCTAAAATATAAATATATTTAAAACAAGCTCTGAATAGATATTAAAGAGTATATTAAAACTTATAATATCTGTTAAAGAATAAAGATTTTATAATATAAGTAATATAATAAGTTAATATTACTGTCTATTTCAAAGAGCTTATAACAGAATCTATCAACGAATTTCATAGGTAATCTGCTGAAGTTGACAAGAGTCAAAGAATATAACTCAATTTTAGTCATTATTAACTACTTTATAAAGATAATTAAATATATCTCTATTTATAAAAAGATTAATGCCTCTGAATTGACTGATCTGTTTTTAGATATTATTATTTATAATCATAGTACTCTTGTGATTCGGAAGAATGTACGACTGCCGGATAATAACGCGGCCGCTTCCGAACTTGCTTATGAATGTAAAGAGGCCATAGCGGCCTCCAATTAATTTAGTGTACAGTATATAAGAAGCCAGCGTACGCCTGTAATCATACACTGACTCAAGCAATCTTTGAATCACATCTGATAGCATGTCTAAAAACTGATGAGAAGTGCAGGCTTCTTCAGAGCATGATAATTTCATCTACAAAGCAATTCATAGTTATCATGTCAGTGTTATTATTATTATTATTCTTCAATTATAGATGTATACAGTCAGAGACTATGACATCTACCTGAGAACTTTTAGTTCTCAGGGTTTTTCCTATGTCTGTAAAGTTAACTATTATACATTCATCAATTTCAGATATGCAAAATCAGAAAATTCCAGCTCAGAATACAAAAACTGTTTACAAATTGCAGTGTTTTAACATCTTTTGATACTTTCAAATCATTTGACAATATCATGACAAAGGAAAAGAGAAAAAGAACACAGTCTCAAAGATAGACACATTAAATAGATAGTATAGAAAGAAATTGAAAGGAAAAGATAAAGAAAAGATAAAGTAAAGAGAGACTATAACAAAACAAATTATTAAAAGAGAGTGTATAGCTGTTTTAACAGACTATATCTGATTGATTTGCTTCTCTTCATATTCAGATAATTCTGAATTTAGCCATTTTCTTGTAGCTGCTTGAGTTTCTGATAGAAAGTCTATTAAGTATTTAATTCCTGTCTCAGTTGAGAATAAGAATCTCATATTTAATTGATTTAGATCATACTTCTCTTTCAATCTAGCTCTGAGACTATTGTATAATGCACAGTGCATTATAATATACTCAGGATTCTCATTTGTATTGCAGAATGAGCATTCTATTGAGTCAAATCTATCATCAAATCTTTGTATATAAGATTTGAAATAGCCATGTTCTAGTTTCAGCTGTATTATAGATGAGAATATTTTCTTTTTACATTTAATTAAACAAGATTTTCACTTGGGTTTTGTTTCAAATCTTGAATAATGTATACTCTTCTTTTGTTTCTGCCAGCTTTCATTTCACTTATCTAAACAAGATTCTTTTATTTTTCTCTTTATAAAAGACCAGGACATAATTTTTTGAATAGATCTGCTTAATTCTGCACTCTTTTTTACAGCTGAATCAGCCAATTCATTGCCATGAATATTCATATGAGCAGGAACTCAGTGTAGATGAATTATCAGCTTTGATATTCTTCTCTTTTGAATTTTCAAAACAGAGTTTAAGATCAGTTCAAGATTCATTTGATTATTATGAATCTGACTATTTCTAAGTCTTTTTAAAGCAGCTTGACTATCAGAGAATATCTATGTCTCTTTCAAACAATTTCCTCTTTTATGAGATTTTATTTCAATGAGTTTGAAAGCTTTCACTATTGCAAATAGTTCAGCATCAAAGACTTCACATTCACAGCCTAGATTTCAGAAATCTGAGATAAAATTGATATTATCTTCAGTATAAGCAATGTCTGTGTCTAATCTATTCAAGGTCTCATTTTTTGAGTCATCTGAATAAATCAGAATAGAGTCTTTTATATTAATTGTAGAAATTCTCTTCAAATGCTGTTCATATTCTTTCTCTTTTAATAGTTCACTTATTTGTAAGTCTATAAGAGATTCAAGCTTTTCTCTCCAGAGTGATAACTTCTCATGATCAACTTTTTCAACATTTAAAGAAGAAAATTGATTTTTAATCAGAGAGTATAGTCTGTACAGTTGAGAAGGCATTTTCTTTGAAGAATTATTTTCATTTCAATCAAGAAATCTATTTCAATCCAGTTCATTTCCAGAGTTAATTGATGAAAATGAAGAAGAGACTCTTTCTCTGATTATATGATTTAAGCTCATCTTTACAACTCTCAGAGCATAGTTCATACAGGCCTTTTCAAATCTAGTAGCAGGAGGAGGAATTGAAGCTTCAATTTTCATTGCTTTAATAGAAGATGATTTGAATGCTCTCAGAATTCTTCTCAAGACTCTGTTTTGTAGACTTTGAAAGAGTTCAGTGAAATTCTCTTGATTATTCTATCAAACTTGAACTTCATAATCAGCTACTGATGTAATACAGGCTATATATAACTGTCTCATAGCCTGGAAGAATAGACCTCTCTCTGTATTTGATAGTCTGATTATGTTATTCAATAGTCTTTCTGTCTTGACAGTTCTTTGTTGAATGTGATATTTAAAATTCAACTTGGAGTTTAATCATACTTCTAATCATTTGACATTTACACTGGGTTTAATCTCTCTATTTAAAAGAGTTAGAGATAGATCTTTCTCATTGAATCTAGAAAAGAAATGAATTAACTCAGTTTTATTCATATTAAATTGAATTTGATTGATATCTGCTCTAACAAAGATTTTCATTGCAGCTTCTTCAATTACTTTCAAATTCTCTTTGATAGTTTTTGAGCTGTAGACTAGACCAATATCATCCACATAACTCAGAGATCACAGTATTCTCATATTTCTATTTTTGAATAGATATGCAGTGTATATTGCAAATAAAATGAGTGAGATTGAAGATTTCTGTGATACTTCTATTTTTATCTCAGTTGTATCTTGTTTCATTTTATCAAAGAAGAGTTGTATAATTCTTTTAGATATAAAACAGTTAACTCATTTTATTAGAGAAAGTGACAGTTTTAATATCTTCAATGTCTGAATTAACTTTGACTTTGAAACATGATCAAATGCTTCTTTTATATCAATAAAAACTGCAGTTAAGACCAGACTCTCATGCTTTGCTATTTAAATATTATGAACAACTGAGAGAACAGTGTCAATTGCAGAACACTGTTTTCTATCTTTCATTTATTCACTGAATAAAAGAGAATCACCTATAGAGCTTATAAAAGATAGTTGAGTAGCTATAATCTTTTCTAAAATCTTTCCTAGGCAGTTCAATAGAGATATTACTCTATATGACTTAGGAATTGAAGTTTTTCTATTAGGTTTTGTAAGAATCACTTCAGTGGCTTCTCTCCAGCATTCAGAATGATATTCATTTTTCAAGAGATTGAAAAAGAGCTCAAAATATTAATTCTTTAAGTAGGAATATATATTTTGAATAATTAAGTGATTAATTGAATCAGGATCTGCAGCAGTTTTAACAGAACTTGAGAAGATAGCTGACTCTAATTCATCTTGTGTAAGATCAGGCCATTCCCAGTCATTTTCATCAATGTAGTTGAGAAGTGATATATTCTCTTTCTCTTTCTCTGAATCTGAATCTGGTGAGTTCTGAAAGAGAATTCTCATGAAAGCTTGACATTTTTCCTCAAAAGAGTTTGCTGTATATGATTCATTCTGAAACTCATATTCTAAGGCTGAAAGTTTTGCTACACTTGTTGTTTTAGTATAGTTAAAAGCTTTAAAAACTTCCTTCTCTTATGCTTCTTCAAGAAATTTATTTCAGCAGTCTGTTTTAGCTCTTTTAATATCTGAGAAATATTCATTTCTGACAGCTTTGAACTCTTCATTAGATATTATATCATTCTTTCAATCTCTTCTAGCAGTAGCTAATTCTTTCCTTTTAGATGAGATATTCTCATTTCATCAAGGTTTTGAATACTCAGAAGATTTTCTTTTTGAAATATTATCTCTAACACTTATTAGAATAATAGATGTAATAAGCTTCACTCTATTCTCAAGCATTTCATTTGAGATATCTTGATCAGAATTTCAATATAGCTCATTCTGTCTTTCAGATTTTAACAGTTTTATGCTTTCTTCAACTGCTTTTCAATCAGCTTTTTCAAAGTTATACTGATTAGAGAGAAGAGGATTTTCACTCATTTATTTTTCACTCAGTTCAATATCAAATTGAATAATCTCATGATCTGATTCTGATGTCTCATTTGAATCAATAAATCAGTTTACAAGTCTTCTTTTCATTAGATTTTGTGATATAAAGATTAGATCTATAATAGACTTCTGTTTCATATCTTTTCTAAAGAATGTTTGTTGATCAGACTTATTAATCAAATCTATTGAATGCTCAAAGATTTATTCAACCAGATTATCAGCTCTCACTGCTCTCTTACATTCTGAATTTCATCAGAAATGATGTGCATTGAAATCTCCTGCAATTATAGAGTTTCTTGATGAAGTTATGTTCAGAAATTCTCTATCAATTGTCCAGATATTGTTATTTTTCTTCAATGACTTTTCATTATAGATATTTATAAGCTGTATAGTATTAAACTCATTTTCTTTATCTATAATATCACTCACCAGAATATCAGGGTCAGACATGATATCAAATCTTAGATTAAATTAATATCTTGATCTCTTTCTTTCATAGATCACTACTCTTGACTTTATCTCAGACTTTTGAGGTAGAAAGCAGTAGTAGCTTGAATGAGAAATGATGTAATTTTACTCAGCATCAAAATTCAGTTCCTGAAGTAGTACAAAATCAACTTTTTATTCAAATGTAATTTGAAGACAAGAATAAATACAATTTGAGTTTCTATTCACATTATTTTGAATAAATATGATTTTTGAAGAGTTTTTAAACTTTTTTTGTTGTTTTTATTGTATATTCATACTAAAAGAGAGTAGAGATAGAGTAGAATCTAGTCACTATCATCAGATAGTAGATTATAACTATTTTGAAAAGTAGGGATCTCAACTGCTTGCATTATATCTAGTTTATCATCAGAGTCATTTCTCAATTCTCTAATCTTAACAGAAGTTTGAGAATTCAAATTCTGTTTACATTTAGCTGAAGAATTGAAGTTTGAAGATTTAGATAGTTGAGAGTTTCTTCTTTTTGAGCTTACAGTTATAAGTCTACTGACTTGAGTCTTCTCTTCAGTTCTAGATTGACTTTGAGCTTCATCTTTTCTCCAGTTCTTTTGAGTTCTAGGAGTAAACATACATTCTTTTGAGCTAGATGCATGTTTTTCTTTGCAATTAGAGCACTTAAGCAGAGTGTGTTGACATATTTCACCTCTTTTTGAGCATGTTTCACATTTATACTCACTAGTTTTGTGATCTCTGGCACAGAATGCACATTTTGAGTCTCTAAAACATGAGATTGCAAAGTGTCCATATCTTTGACAGTTTGAACACTGTGTTTGAGCTTTGAGATTCATTCTTGAGTCTTTGTATTCATGAACTCTCATTTTCAAATCTGCTACTCTTACTTCAGAGATCTTTGACTGTTCAAGTGTTTTTATATATACTAGAACAGAGGCATTTCTCCTGCTTTGTCTGAACTCAATTGAATTTAGTCATACAGGCTTCTTTCTCAGTTGAATAGAGTTGTATTCTTTCAATTCATTTTTGAGAAGTAGTATTCCTTCTTCACAGTCAAAAATTTCAACTGAAATATTATAAAGAATGAATTTGTCTCACTTTTCATCTCTTTCAGATAGAATTGTTGTGTTTGACAAAGATTCTACTGCTGACTTTCAGAGATTCTTATTCTGAATAAGGAATTCAGTACTGAATTCAGGCATTGTAGTCAGAATGATGGAGTTTTCAAAGAATAATAACTTAATTGAAGCTATAACTGATTTTTAAACTTCAATATCAGTCATCAACTGAGAAAAGAACTGCTGATTAATTTTATTTCTGATTCTGAAAATGAGATTTGAGTTTAGCCTGTTTCTTTGCAGAATGTCCTGGTTTGAGACTTTGAGAATAAGTCTTCTATTTCTGAAGATTTGAAAGTTTTTGTCTTTTTGCATTTTCTTTTTCACTTTTCTATGAATAGAGACATGAGCAGTATTCTTCTCAGTTTTCTCAGGATTTTGAGCAGGTTTTGAGACAGCAGATTTAGAGACAGCAGATTCAGCTGCTTGAGCATATGTTTTCTTCTGATTCAAAGAAGAAGAAGAAGTAGGAAAAAAGAAAGAAGAAGAGTAAGATGAAGAGTCAGTGATTGTACTAGGAATTTTCAAGGTTTTTTGAACTGTGTTTGAGATTTCAAGTTTGAACTTGATCATCTTCTGTAGTTGTCTAGTCTGAGCATGAAGAATTAACAGAACTTCTTCATTCATCTCACTCAGACACTGCTTTTCAAGAATCATTGCTTACTTTTTCAAGTTCCTGTATTTCAAGAACTTGTT